TCTAGAATCAAGCGAGCGAGGTGTGGTGCACTCTTTATCTTTTTTCTTTATCTTTCTTTTCAGCTTAAGGATGTTTTTGCTGAAGCCATTTGTGGTCTTATCCTCCGTCCTTCAGCTTCCTGGATGCCCGTGTGATAGAGTCTATTCATGTGTTGCAAGTTTAGCAAAACATAAAAGCATATCATTTTTTCGCTTTCAGTAAATATTACAGCGGCTGGCTATGGCAGACAGGACGAGGGTATGAATGTACTGAAAATCATAAAGTCATTCAAGAAATGTAAGGGTTTGTAAATCTAGCCCAGAAGTTGTAAGGTCAGAAGGTTGAAATTATCATTAGGGATTTATACACATGTTCATGTCCCCGGCTTTTCTTGTGCTGATGGATATATATTTTCTAGATGCAGAGAAAGAAGGAGTTTCATAAGAATTGAAATAATTATGAGAGAGAGAATAAGGGTGGATATGAGGGAGGATTGGTGGACTGTGTGTGTGCGAGAAATGGAGAGAGACGGAGAGAGAGAGAGAGAGAGAGAGGGAAAGAGGGGGGAGAGAGAGGAGAGAGACGAGAGAGAGAGAGAGAGAGAGAGACACAGAGAGAGAGAGAGAGAGAGAGAGAGAGAGAGAGACAGAGACAGAGAGAGAGAGAGAGCGTGTGAGAGCGAGAGAAAGGGAGAAAGAAAAATTAAAGTGTATTAAATAAAGAAAAAAAAAGAAAACTCTGAGTAAAAGGCAACGCACGTATTTCTATGGGTCCCCACACACGAGACACTTTTTAGTGGCGGCCATCAAAAAGTGGTCACTTGGTCTATTCTAACCACCACTTTCTCGCCGCACTAGTGGATAGGTGAAGAAGCCTGGCCTTAATCTATTTCGACTGTAAATCAAAGCATTATACGCAGTGTGACCGAAGATTGCATTCATAAATCAGAGAATGATAATATCAATATCTATGAAACAAACTTTTAATTAATTATGATATTGATATTTGCGAATTATAGAACCGAACACTGATAATTTTCCAGATGGTGTTCGGATGTGCAGCCATTATTTTCTCACAGTCCACCGATCGTCATTGGCCATTAACAAGCGGCCGCCCACTGTGTCTCGTGTGCGCGGGCTCTTAAGTGGATATACAATGCTACAGGAAATTAGCGAACTTAAAGACAGAACTAGCAAGATATTGAAGCTGAAAGTGGGGAACGAGAGACGCACCGAAGAAACTTTTCTCGGAACCAACATACAGTGAACGAAAAAAAAAGTCGGTCACGATCGCTTGTCGGTCGTTTGAGAATCTGGTGTCGGACTGCTTGGTTCACTGCTCGTTAATGAGGATAACGATCAGCATTAGTCTTGTAGCCGACGCGTTTTTTTTTTTTTTTTTTTTTTTTTTTTTTTTTTTTGATCCGACAGCTGGGGGTCCCGAGAAAAGCTTCTTAAGTGCGGGCCTAAATTCGACCGCTGTAAACGACCATTTGACCGACTCCTCCGTCACAGAGGATGCCGTTATACAAGCGCCCTCAACGCCCTTATCACATTAACCGAAACTCCTCATCCATGACCTTGACTCTCCTTCCTCCCTCCCCCCCTGTTCCCTCTCCCTCCCTGTTCCCTCTCCTCCCCCTCCCCCCCATCCACGCTCGTCCGGTCCAGTCAGTCTCGAAAATAAGTGGACAAAGAGAGAGAAAAATTGAGCATGTTCGTCTGAACAAGAGCCGCCGCCGCCGTGCCCCCAAGACGCCGCCTCTCGGGCCTCGACGTCTTGCGCTGGGAGGCCGAGGTATCCGTTTTCATTAGTGACGCGAGACCATTCATTTGGAACAGCTAATTCCCTCTCACGGAGCGTCCTGCCTCAGCCGCTTTAATGAGTCCTATAAATATCGTCTGTGTGTTTTTGTTTTATTTTATTTCGGTCTTATGTACATTTAAGCCTAACGTAGAACCGGAATACCCTATATTCCATGAAACAGGATTCCTCCTCTCGGAAGCCCTCCAGGACCCGCGCGGGGGAGGAGACGCCAGCGGGGTGTCAGCGGGACCGGGGAAGGACTGCCGCGGCCGAGTCTGTACAGAGAAGCGAGGGCGTGACAGACACAACGCCCCGGGAGGAACGAGAAGCTGGTCTTGATTGGGCAGAGCGTCCCACCGGCGGAAGAGTCCTGGAGCGATATGTCCTGTCCTGACGAGGGGCGCTGACGGAGCACTACTTCACCATCAGGAGTATGACGGATGTGATGACCAGGGATAAGCTGACGCCCAACGTGGAGCCTGTGGGAAAGGAGAGAGGAGGGCGTGAGTTTCCTGCAGAAGAGGAGAGAGGAGGGCGTGAATGTCCTGCAGAAGAGGAAGCGTGAGTGTCCTGCAGAAGAGAGGAGAGAGAAGAGGACGTGAGGCAGAAGTGAGAGAAGAGGAGAGAGGAGAGTTTCCTGCAGAAGAGGAGAGAGGAGGGAGTGAGGAGGGCGCGAGTTTCCTGCAGAAGAGGAGAGAGGAGGACATGAGTTTCCTGCAGAAGAGGAGAGAGGAGGACATGAGTTTCCTGCAGAAGAGAGAGAGGAGGACATGAGTTTCCTGCAGAAGAGGAGAGAGGAGGACATGAGTTTCCTGCAGAAGAGGAGAGAGGAGGAGTTTCCTGCAGAAGAGGAGAGAGGAGGACATGAGTTTCCTGCAGAAGAGGAGAGAGGAGGAGAGTTTCCTGCAGAAGAGGAGAGAGCCTGCAGAAGAGGAGAGGAGTTTTCCTGCAGAAGAGGAGAGAGGAGGGAGTTTCCTGCAGAGAGGAGAGAGGAGGGAGTGAGGAGGGCGCGAGTTTCCTGCAGAAGAGGAGAGAGGAGGCAGAGTTTCCTGCAGAAGAGGAGAGAGAGGACAGAGTTTCCTGCAGAAGAGGAGAGAGGAGGGCAAGAGTTTCCTGCAGAAGAGGAGAGAGGAGGGAGTGAGGAGGGCGCGAGTTTCCTGCAGGTCAGCTGAGCTTTAACGCGCGTCTGTTCCCCGCCGCCCGATGCTAACGTGCACAGCCGGAAATTATGTATTCGCGCAGGAATGATACATACATGTGGCATGTGGGGGGTAAATAATGATGTGTTGGCTCCCGGCACATTTATGCTGGGACACGGAAGCTATCGCATATATGTTTCGTCTTTGTCTGCTCTCACTCCGTTGTGTAATGTCATATTTCTTCAGAACGCATGAATTTTAAACTATCAGGGAAGTAGGTATGCATATACGAACATACGTATATATGTGCGTGCGTGTGTGAATGTATATATGCCTATATCTATGCCACTGTGTGTGTGTGTGTGTATGTGCGTGTGTGTGTTTGTGCACATACAGATATTTACACACTCACACACAGATATATATATAATATATATATATATATATATATATATATATATATATATATATATATATATAATATATACATCCATACATATACACACATATACATATGGCCGTGTGAATGTGCGTATATACGTGTGTGCTCATACACTTGTATGTTCGTATCCCTGATGTGATTTTGCTGAGAGCAGCCAGTCTAGGGAGAGCACACGCGTCGGTGAACACATTCCGCCATTGAAATGAATTTATAACAAAAGCCTAACTACAAAGGAGCTTACTAAGAGACGTTCTTCGGGTCTGCTATTATAGTTATGCCTCGGGATGC